TTTTTTTTTTTTTTGACCGGACCTTTTTCCTCCCTGCAGAGAGAAAAGTCTGTACGACTTAGGTCGACCCCTCATGAGCATATTAGCCGCTCAGGGCTTAGGGTTTTAGGGTTTGGGTTTAGGGTTTACGATGGTTTAGACTGCGAGCTCAGACGAGACGAGCAGATGCTGGTGCGGCTTTCCTCGTGTCTGACAGCTCAGCCATGCATCCTAGCCTGAGAGACTCAAGACTCAAAATGCAAAGCGTGCGATTTAAGGGTTAGGGCCAGTTTAGGCCCGGAGTGGCCAAGGGCTCTAGAAACTCTACAACGACATCAGGGCCCGAACAAATAGGAAGAACAGGTAAACACTCCTCAGCCCAATCAGCAGTGCCTTTCGCAAAGCGGCTGGGTTTCTCTCGAAAAGCCCAGAACATCACGAGGAAAGCCGGTAGATTCGAATCTGAGGATGCAACCCACCACCCACCTCCCTCGACCTCTTCTTGCAAACCCATGAAGACCTGAAAATCCCAAAGAGGCTGGCCGGCCTGGTGCAAGGGTACCTGACCATCGTTGTCCGCCAGGTTGGGATTGGCCTCCCGAATTGAAAGCCGTCAAACCCTGCAACATCTGCAAGGACAAGGCCGTCTACCGACAAACCTCGCGTCGGTCGCAACCTATAGGACTTGTGATGGCGTGAACCCTAAACCCTAAACCGAGGGGGCGGTACCTGCTGAAGTGCAGACCCTGTGCAGGTGGCCTGAGCGTCGAGCAGCACCTTCAGCACCACAGGGAAGCCGTATCGGCACCTGTCCGTCGAGCGATACTGGAATCACGAAGTTCTCAGTTCCAAGGGGTACTGTTAGGGCTATATACTGCTACACTTCCGGTTGCTATAAGGACTACTGTAAGGATTGCTCCAAGTTGAGGTGAAGCTTCTTTGCTTGCTGACCGGCTGCGCTCCACGTTCTGAAACCCTGTTATTGTTAAAAGCTCACAAAACGCCATAAGCTATAGTAGGAGCCGAAATGAAAGCCATGCTGTAATAAACGAGCATGAGCAAGTCGCATAGCATGCTGCACCCCTGGTTGATGGAACCTGCACACTCGGTGTCCATGGTGCATAGACAAAGGAAGGCAATGACAATGACACTGCTGCAAAGCATGACGAAGCCAATTTCAACGATAAGGATGGACGCCCTGACCGCGGAGGCCACTTCTGCATCGACCATTTTCTGTGTTGATGATAACTCCTTATTAACCCCTGTACTGCTGAGCAACCTCCTAACCTGACCTCTAACCTGTTTACGCCTTGCCTTTCGGATCTCGGCATGCTTGTAGACTGGCAGCGCTACACTAGCCATGTCTGGCTGCACTGACCATATTTCCGGCAAGGAAAAGGAATACTTGGGAGACCTCTTCGTGCTCGTTCGTCGCGGTATACAGTCACTATACGACCATCTGGTCACCAGGGCCCGCACGTGAGCATCAAAGGCGTCGTGAGGGTGATGTCAGTTCGATCCACCTATGACAAACTTACCCATAGTCTCCATTGTAGTTCCCTTTGGGAGTTCCCTTATAGGATCCTAAATATAAAATTGGTTTTTGGAGACTATAGGTACCGTCTTGGGATTGAAGCTTTGGGGATCCTAGCTTTCAGGCTTTGGGGAGTTGAGGGTTCAGAAGTATGCTCAACGAGGAGGCGAGATCGAGAGCTGTCTCGGCGAGCGCTCGATTCGCAAGTGTTCCGTTAATCAAGTCTTGAACCAGACTTCCGTTCCCTGGTGGAGTGCAGTCACAAAGAATCTGAACCCTGACGTCTCAAAACCTCCCAACCCCAAACATCCTCTGCTCCTAGTGAAACCCCAAAACCCGAAATCTGAACCCTGGCAAGAGTGCAATCTGAGATCCACGTCCGAGGCTCCCAGCCATAGCGGAGCGCTGCAGCAAGAAGAGCGCGCTGGGCGCGGACCCTCCGGCGGCGGCATAGTGGAGCGCCTTTGCTGATACTACAGATACAAGTATATATCCCTGACTAGAAACAAATAACTGCATCAATCCGACAGTACCACGGCATGAAGACCCTGAAGAACTCAAACTCTGAAGCTCTGTGAACCTAAGCAAGGGCAAAATTTGGGCCTCAACACTGCGAATAGGATAAAGGGAGTGCAGGAGGGTATTATTTCTAAGTTGTTCAGACCTCTATACTTTTGGGCTTCCGACGCTGCAGCCACGGTGGTCGACGCAGTCCAGTTCTCCACTCACCTCGGAAGTGAGTGCTTAGGTCTTAAGGCGTGGGAGCCCAGGGAATCATATTGGGATTGGCGCTTTTGCAATTTGGGGTTTAGATTTGTCGGGTCAGTCGAGTACCCATATAGAGAAGAGCATCTCCGTCGTCATAATCATCGTCATCAGCAGCAGCACCCACAAATGAGCGAGGCACCTGACTGAAGAGCTGGAGAAAGAAGATGTTGCCGTCCATGGCCGCCTGGACAACTTTGCTGGTGGCTCATGCAGGGCTACAAACCTAATGTAGGAGCCTTAATAATTAGAATAGGTTGTTGGGGTCCTTTATAAGTACAATTATAATAAGGAAACCCCAAAAATAGTATAGGTAATTATGAAGGCCCTATATCAAGTTTCAGACTGCAGCCAGAGTACATCATGCAATCAGGTGCAAGGAAAGCGGAAGAGGGGCCCGCTCAAGGACTCGAGCTCGTGGCCATATTTGGTTGAACATCAGGCTACGTAGACTATTTTGGGTTGATGTTCAGGAACGTATTTTAAGTTACCGTAATGGGGATTTTTAGCAAATAATGGCGCTTCCTGATTTTTGTAAATTAATTTAAGTTCCTAAACCCCCAAACCCAGTATTGAAGACGCAAGCACTGACAACAGAACGACCCTGCATCACCGAAAGGAGTCCGAAGCCGGTAAGCCGATAGAAATCCCACCGTAGTCCCATGGAACCCTGAACATCAAACCCTGAAGGCCCTAAATCAAACCCTAAGGGCCCTACATCAAACCCTAAGGGCCCTAAACAAGCCTGGTAGATGTTGGAAGTTTCCCGAGGGTCCTGGGTGGAGGTGCAAAGGGCTGTTTCCGATTGGGATCCCTGTATCACGGCGACTGCCGGAAGAGTACTTGAAGAGAGCTACAGCCGTCTACCCCGATGCCGTCTCTAGCCAATCTGGGAGAGTCACCCTGGTATCACCGGCGACACGTGCTTGGTCAAACTCAGCATCACGTCACTTTGTAAGATATCTGGCTTGTGCTGCAGCTTTCACATTCCTTAGGCACCGGCCCGCCACAAAGATATCTTGAGCAGGTCGTTCCTCCCAACATGGGCACAAGTGCGGTGGTTATGAGCTGATGTGGAGCCGGCGACTCCTTCTGAAGCATAGTATCAGTAAAGTATGAATATAGCATTATGAGAGCATGTCATTATGATCATTTCTGTTGAGGTGATTATTTACTTGTAGGGTCAACTCTTGACCATGCTGGGTTCTCCTCTCGGCTTGGCGGCTGCAAAACCAAGAAGCCGCGAGAAAGGTGTGGGAAGGGTGGCATACACATATCAGAGGCTTCTCTTCATGAGCGAAAGCTGGTGAGGCAGCATCGGTCGCGGCTCTGTAAAGCCTTGGCAGTTCTTGCTGCAGCACCTAGTGGGTCCAGTGTTTGGAAAGCAACCAGGCGCCGTAGTTTGCGACAATCCTCGCTGTAGATATCGGTTTATCCATTTTTTGTGCTCAGATAGGAACCACTGACCACTTAGTGTCACATGCAACAGCATCTGTCGCTCCTCCAAAAACGAGGACGGGTCAGCTGCGTCTCATCGCGTGCCTCATGCCATACAAACAACTGCGCTTGCCGACAGTCGCGGTCAGCTGCACCTGCTCTCCATCAACTGGGGGATCCTTGCCCCTTCGCAGCATCCCCGTGAGTTGCCCTGCTACAAGAACTCAACTGCAATCGTCGAAATTCAACCTTCGCCCGGCCTCCGTCCAAACGCCCAGAATGGGATCCAACTCAGGTGGTTGGTGCCATTGCGAGAGTTGCATTCCCTGGCGGCCCAGACCAGAAGGGCTCGAAACAGGCAGGCTTTGGACATGGCTCAAAGCGAATTACAACAACACGGCATCGCCGGCGCTTCAACAGCCACGGACTCCGCAAACTCACGGGTGCCAGAAACTTTGGAGGCTTTGATGATTCAGGCGCAGAAGGTGAGCAGAAATAACAACCGCCTGCTTTGCGCAACCAGTTTGTGTTTCTAGGCCCCCTCGCCAACCCGTTCTGGGTCTTGAGCCTCGTGGAAAAAGAAGAGCCGTCCTTCCGTCGTTGCTACCTGCAGCGAGGTCTGGGGTCAGTTCTGCATTGCGTTCACACGTGCTCCACTCTTTAAACCCGCACTCTATCTACCTATCTATCTACCTATCTATCTATCTATCTGTCTACCTGCCTACCTACCTATCTATCTACTTACCTATCTATCCATCTATCTATCGATCCATCCATTCATCTACCTATCTACCTATCTATCTACCTGTCTATCTATCTTCCTATCTATCAATCTCTCTCTCTCTATACATATATATATATATATATTTATTTATATTTATATTTATAGCGACAGAGAGTGTGAGAGAGAGAGAGAGACAAAGAGAGAGAGAGAGAGACGCCAATAGTAAGTGCATCATGTCAAGCAAGAGGGGCGAGAAGAGAGGAACCAGAACAAGAGCTGGTCAACATCTGGGCAGACATCCTGCATATAGCTTCCCAGCACTTCAAGATATTTCATCTCTCCAGCTGCCAGTCGAGCGCTGAGTGCGCAGCAACGGTCCAACCATGCCAGCCATCAAAGTCCGGCACCTGGACGTCCTGGTCTACCCCGTGGCAGACAAGTGTGAAGACAAGTCAGCCAGTATATGGGATGCCATGTTGTTGCAGGGACCATGCTCTTACCCCGTGACAAGGGAACATGCCGAATCACAGCTGTGATCTTTCTCACAAGTGACACAACAAACACAAGTGGCAGATTACTTCCCTCAATTCGCCTGGAAATGTTCACCACCACTGGATCACCACCAAGCACAGAGAAGATTACACTCTGAAAAGGATGGCCTCCTAGGTTGAATGCAATTGCAGGTTGGACATTGGCCTCTGCTGCTGCAACTTCCAGCCCATCACGCTCTGCATCGGTTTCCTGGTCCAACTGGCTGTGGGCACAACATGCATGTGCCAGGAGAAAACAGCAAGAGCCAGCGATCGAGACAAATGACAAGAGCCGCACCAGCTTACAAACGCCGTCGACAAAGTCAGGCAGGAAGCTCATGGAAAATGGCGACAATCACATTTCTTCTCCCATCTTGCGAACCCCGAAAATTGCGGAGGGACAAGGCCTCGTCGCACATGCTGGCGCTTCCGAAGTGCGGCAGCCTCCAGGAGTGAAAAGACATTGGGCGACACCTTTGGATAGCTAGCTCTGGACCAGCACCTGCTAGGGTTTCGGGTTTATTTCTTGAGGGCTGACAGACTGCCAGAATCTGCTACTGGGCTTTGAAGTAACCAGGGAAGAAAAAAGTGTAGACCTTTATTTCATAATGGCTCCTTTAAGGAACAGAAAAAAAGATATTCACGTATGGTACTCCAAAGCCTAGGTTATACATCCGACGCCAGCACGCAGTGAGCCTTCCACAAAAACCAAGCCACCGAAATGACGAGCGTGTCTTCATGCATAGTAACAATTGCTAACAGCCGCATTGCTGAAAGCCAGAAGGCATCAACGAATCAAGCGGATGAAGGAAATGGTCGAAACACGAACTAAACATGGGCCCGAAGCACTGCCCGGGGCGGCGCAGAAAAAGCCACAGGCAAAACTGGAGCGAGATAGGGGCCTAAGCAGTTACATAGAGCCCCAAGCCCTCTTCTGAGGATTAAGGGGCTAGAGCTGCCAGGGTCGGAAGATGCAGTGCAGCCCCATCTGACAACTTGGAAGCCCAGGAGACCAGGTGAGGTTTCCACCAACATGCTGCTTCTGCAGCAGAGGCCCTTAGGGCAAAACGAAACGCCTTAAAACGATGCCATGTCGACGAAAGCAACGAAGCCTCGAGCTTGTAGAACTTTGCACCCTAAACCCTCAACCCCTAAACCCTAAACCCTTAATGCCCAGCCTAAAGCTCTTGACTTCCGTGGGCCTAGGGCCTAGTCGCTCTCTTGGCTTTACGACGGGGCCTCTGATTCTCCGCGGATCGCTGCCGGGGCGGACTGGCACGGAGAACATCTACCCTCCACTTCTATACCTGAACCCGAAAAGTATGTAGAATAATAGCCATTTAAAGGTTTTGGACCATTATTTCACCTACTTTTGAGGGTTTGCGTACTAATCACATTACCTGGAGATGGGTTTCCATAGCAGGGAACATGCTTCCATCCAGTCCTTGGCACTTTGAGTCGAGATGCAGGGGGGGCTTAGAATCCCAAGTTTCAGGGTCCAAGAGGGGGACAGGGGCCTTCAAACCGGACAGGTATTCGGGCCTCGTCGGATTTTGGCCAATAGACTCTCTCTCTCCCTCTCTTTCTTTCTTTCTTTCTCTCTCTATATAAAAATATGTATAGTATACTATAAAGTACTATAATATATGCTGTATATACTATTTACAAGAAGCACAAATGCGACAAGACCAATCTGAGACTCTGAAAGCTCCTCGCCTGCTTGCCGTGGACGCCGAATCCGGAAGAGCCTGGACATTCTTTCCCGCAAGGAGATTGTTGCATGGGGAGAGGTGTTGGTGGATGGGGGGGGGTTGCTCTTTCTATGTTGTGTATTTCTATTGGGACTTTCAAGAGAAACTGTTACTGCTGAATCAGACCTTTATCTTGCGTCTTTAACTCTTAACATACAACGGCATCACTAACAGTTGCGTAAGGGCTCGGGCAGCATAGTCGAGCGTGAATGTGCACCAAGATGAGTGTCTGAAAATGAACCGTCCCTAAAGCTGTATGCGTACGCACACGTTACCAATGCAGGATCCCAAAGATTTCGGCCCGCGCGGCCAGAGGCCGCATTTCTTAAACCTACCTAGCTCTTCTGCTAGAGAACCCAGCTTTAAGACCAGCCACCAGGTGCCCAAGCGAGGGCCCAGATGGGTATGTGCACAAAAGTCTTGGCACACGCATGCACAGAGAGAGAGAGAGGAAAAAAAAAAGAGAGAGAGAAAGAGAGCGAGAGACAGAGAGAGAGAGGCGCACACGCACATACCGGCACAAGCAACAAACACACACACACACACAACAGACACACACACACACCCACACACCCACATACACACACCGAATTGCATACTATGTATGCGTACATACATATATACATACATCTCGACCGATGCACATATTTGGATGCAAATACAAGTTCATTCAGGAATACATGATAAACGATTCATCGGCCTTCTGAACTGCACGACATGCTTGTCATAATATGGGCCAACCGTTATGGAGACCTTTGTCTCATATCCAAACAAAGCGACATAAAAACATGTGAACTTCCACGCGCAGAAACATGCAACTGCCCACAGGCAACGCGCTTGTCGCCTCCCCGGCATCGGCCACTTCGGCACAGTGCACCTGGGAGCTTGCAACAAAAAGTCTGGAGATTCAGGCGCAAACTCTGGGGCTTGATCTTCAAATTTCAGCAAAGTTGAAGCTCTTTCTCAGACAGGCTGGCGTTAAGTCATGCCGGGTGAAGAGTATGCACTGATTCAGACCTTCAGACCGACTTGTTTACGAACACTTGACGATCTTGACGACATCCAGACCGCACTTGCCTTATGACTTTGCGGACACGGGCATGAAACTGAGCCTCCGAAAAGCACCAAACTACGCCTGTGCACCTCGGATTCCGCGAGTTCGCCTTCCTCCAACTCTTCCACCTCCAAGCTGGCAAGTCGGGATCCTAGGGTTTAACGTCCTCCCAAGAATGCAGAATTTATAGGGTTTATGAACCTCCGTTCTGAGCAACGCGATGCTTTTTTGTCGGAAGGCTTCAAACATAATTACCTATCATTCTAGCAACACCTAACTGCCTACATGGCTATCTAACTACCTAGTCACATATCGACCTATCTAGTGATTTATCTCTCCACAAAAACTATCAGTCTCTGGACCGATCTCCCGATCGTGCGTTTTCTTACATTGTTCTACTTGTGTGTAAACATGTATGTGTGTATATATATATATATGTATGTGCGTATACACATGTATGTATGCAGACAACTCTCCTCCCACGTCACCTCACGTTCTCAAAAACTGCGTCCGAGACCATCGCCGCCCATCGAGAGCACACTGAAATCCCGCTGAAGCCATATATACTATAGAAGCCAAAATAATCCGTAAAACTATTCCATTCAGCTCACGCAACTAACTGCAGCATAAGATGCAAGACACCAAGGACCCGCGACACAAAACCTGCCAATGCCCGGTGAACAACCACATTCCGTAGCTTCTGCGGATGTTTTTGCTGCGCGCGGATGCGTCGGTCGACACGCAGCCAGCCTCGGCTGCTTTGGGGATGGAGGACCTTCTTTGAAAGCCCCGAGAAGAAAAATACTTAATTGCGCGACAGGTTGAGGGGGTTTGCTTATATATATAGATCGATATATCTCTCGCTATCTATTTCCTTATGTATTCAGTTATACATATATATATATATGTATATATATATATATATGTATATATATATATATATTATGGGGTCACATCGCAAGTCAAAGTAAAATATGGTTGGCTGCCGTGCCATACGTCAGCCGAATAAAACAAAACGTGCTCAACAGAACCGAATAACCCCAATTCCTCCCGACTTTGCGCGATTCAGATTGCGCCGGCTTCACAGTGCAAGCCGTTTAACGGGCTTGGGATATGGGGCCGAATCAGTGCTATGCCTGCTATGCTGGTTTGGGAGATTGAATGGTTTCCTCAACGCTTCCATGCGAAAGCCTTGCACCTGGCAAGTTTTGGAAATGAATTTCAACCAGCGGTTTGGGACAAAGACCCCGCCCCCCCAAGAAAAAACAAATAAAAAAGCAAACAAACAAACAAACAAACAAACAAACAAACAAGAAACTCTAATGCTATGGCGAGGGGGTGACTGGCGGCTTCTGACATCAAGGGCATTGAAAGGCCCTGGCTCAGGGACAAGAGGAGCAGTGAGTTGTGCCGGGCTCGGTTCACCTACTCGAATGGCCCTGCTGTGTGTCGTAGACGCAAGGCATCGACGAACACAAAAGGCAAATTTGCAACCTACTGTACGCATCATGCTAGCACATGAAGATACAAATCCATTGATCATCTCACTAGCGGTGACAATAACATCAGGGAGCAACAGTAGCTGTCAGAACCAAAAACTGTTGAAATCTCCAAAACACTGCGCCACGTCAAAAAATGTAAGAGCTTTAATAATTAGAATAGGGTTCTGTGGCTCCGGTATGTATGGTTATGTCCAGGAACCCTAAGGAATAAGACACCCCAGCCACCCCAGGCGCCGATCGTGTCGCGCGTGGCAGCACGTTTCGAAGGCGAAACCAGACTTGAAACCCCAAAGGAAAAAACCCTAAACCCTTAACCCTAAACCTCAAATCCCTAAAGCACCTGAGACGAAGCATTCTACGCGCCTGACGAGGTGGACGGTCCTAAAGATTTTAAGGTGTAGGCAGCCGCACTACGGCTCACGGGTTTTAGTTTCAGGATTAAGTTGGAGGTTTGAACTGTATACAAGTCTGAAGTCCAGAGTTTAGGGTTGTACAGGGCTTTATAAGACTTTGCATGGTTGTATATGGCTTCACGGGAGGCTGTCTAGGGTTTACGGTACAGCCAAAGGTTTAGCGTTGAGGATTGAAAGCTGGCGTGTGTAAGCGTGACGTTTGATGGGCCCAACGTTTAGGGCTGATGGGCCAGGACGGTTAGGGTTGCAGATGTGTTTTAAGTCCGTACATATGCAAGCCGAAGCCATGAACCCTGTCCTAAGACTCTACACCCGAAGCCCCCAGAAACCTTCATTCCAAACCATAAAACCCTGGAAACCCTGACCCACACTACACCATTATGTTCAAAGTCTAGGGTCGAGGTCGACGAGTGCAGCCATGGCACCATTATGTGCTTCACAGATATTCGGATCGAACGGGCGGCGCACCCAGCCCGCCGAGTTTCTGCATGGCTTAGGATTTTACGTTTAGGGTTTATAAGGGCTTCTTGACCTTGATTCGGGCTGCTGTCCGAGAATGTCGGAATGTCTATCGCAGGTCTCCCGATATGTTTTCGTGCAACCTGCACTGCCCTGGTAACTAGGAGGCTCTGCGCCATGCTCGGCTTGAATTGCAAGGACCCAGGGCTTGCTTGCTGCGTCCGCGTACGTGCTCGGAACAGCCGCACAATGCTGATTCAATGACCCGGACGCAGCTACTGCAACGAGCCACACGACAAGATGCTTTACGCAACAATTGGAGCGGAGGAGGCAGCGAACATTGAAGGCATCACGTTCAACTCCCAAGATCTTTCATTCCCGTTGCAACTCGTTCAGTTGCAAAGCCCCATACACAACCTCAACCCTGAGCCTTAAACCCTGCCTCAACCACAAAACCCAAACATGGGCCCCCGATGCCCTGCCTGCAAGGCCGATGAACCAAGGTGAGCAAATCCTCAGGAGAATCTCTGCAGCCATGGAAAGTCGGCCCCAGACCCAAAACCTTCTCAAGTCAAGATAAACAGCGAGTGTATGTGTCGAAGGCGTTTTACCCAGTCGCCAAATGCATTTAAGAGCTTGCTTCAAAATTATTGTCTGTAGGTTGGGGACGATGTGTTGCGGTGCAGGTTTGCTCAGAGAGACACACACACACACACACACACGCACGAACTACCAATACTTGGCGTAGACCACTTCACAAGCATTCAATCACCCCGGAAACCCCTTTCAAACCTCGTTCAAACCCCCCTCTCTAGCACCCTCAACAGTTCCGTTTAAACGGCTTAGCTTCTATAAATCATGTTCAACTTGCGATTTGGTTTTGAAACACTTCTACAACCCTTTCAAAAAAGCCGTACGCACACCGTCAAACCCACAAAATTCATGTGCATGTAGCCTTGCCCACATGAAATCGTATCCCTTGGCTAGAGGCAATGAAACGCACAACAAGCACGAACATCACAAGTTCATGCCCGTAACAGATCATACTCCCCGTGGCGCTCTGGCACGTCCCTCCGATTCCACAACAAAGCCCAGCCCATGCCCGCAACAAATCGTACTTTGCAACTAGGAGGAGTGCTGCAGCCTAGCAGCATCAACCTTACAACAAGCACAAACCTGTCGCGGCAACAAATCAGCACCGTCGAGCTTCAAACAAAGATCAGCCCCCTGTCCGCAACAACTCGTATGCCAGTATCGTCAATCTAAAAAACAGGTTTGTTGATGCTTGAAAAAGTTTTTGCAGCGGCTCTAAATTTCCATGGCCGCACATTATGAAACACACCAGACTCGGTCAAAACTCGCGCCGCACCCGTTCAAAAGCCGCTGGCAACCGGCCGAAAAAGCCGAAACTAAACCCTGCACAATTTCTGCACAGCCTAAACTCACAGCCTTGAAACTTTCAAGCCGAGGGGCGGTTCGTCCACATTGGGACGGTGCCGACTTTCAGTTTGTGGAGGACCTAAATGTTGTGCCCGATGCGCTGAAACCGGATGCGATATGTACTGACTGCTGTCCATCCCAAGCACTTGAGCACACAACATCATTGATTCTGCGGGCCCGCCTCGTCACAAAAGTCGATGCAATTGTTTTGCAAGACATTGTAGCTTCGGCCCTCCCACGTTCCTGCCTGCAGCTGCCACACGTCTTTGCAAGCATGCTTTACCACATACAGAACGCAGAGAGAGGTGCTCGCGGCATCGAAACCTTCTTGTTGCAAGCAGAGTATCCAGGCATTGGAAAAACTTGTCGAGCTGTTGCTTCGAGAACGTTGTAGTGCCCCTCCCGTAAGATCAGGGTTTCGCCACGTGAGGGAGCTTCCAGAGCCCCTATCCATCTTTAATCAGAGTTTCAACTACGAGTCTTGTTTTTCAATCTTTCAAGGAGCACTCACTGCTTGAAACAACCTGCAAGCCTGGAGAGCTGAGTGGGCTTGTGTTGGCAACAAACCACCCTTCACCCGCAATGAGTCCAGCTCCACTCCCGGCACGCAGGCTGCAGTTTCACGCCGCCGGCAGACAGGGGTCAAGAACAAACGGCAAAGCGAGATTGCTGGAACAAAGAACATAACCTTCGGATGATCTGCCACGTCTGCTTCATGCAACACCAGCTAGACGGGCGACGCGTAGATGTCAAAGCTTGTATTGCGATATGTGAACGTAGTCCTTGCCCTAGGCCTGTAGGCCGTAATCATCTTGCAAGAACCCCATTGTGCGCCGCCAAGGCGCATTGGGATGCTCTCGCGGAAATTGTGCATCTCGGCACTACGCGGCTTGTGCCGGTAGACACCGCTGCCGCTAGGATTGGCTCCGAAAGCCCACCTTTCGGGATCCCCGACATGAACTCACCAACAAGACCATCACAGAACCTCAAGTCTGCAGACCTGAAGCCATCTTCTACCTTGGCATTTGCATTTAAATGCGGCCCTTCAGCTTGGACACTGGAGGCCGCGCTGGCCTCTATGATCCTGTAGACCCACTTCTTCGTGACACCTCTGCCTTCAATGATCTGTGCCACTGGGCCTCTCAAATGCTAAAGTCTGGTCAGCAACCCCTGGGCGAACGCAGGAAGCACACCCGTGTGAGATCTCGACATTCTGTCTGCAGGGCCTCTAAGTCTGACGGACAGAAGGTCTCGAAGTCTAGATTCTCTCCACTGCAAGACTCGACCGGACCCTGCCCTCCGTCCCAACATCCA